GATCTGAAATATAACTCTTAACAAGCAAAACATTGCAACATTGTTTTTTAAATCTCTTCCATTTGTCAAAGTCACAAGTTTTGGAGGGGTCTTCTTGTTTTCCTTTTTTTAATAAAGTCAGTGCTCCTCTGTTACAGGAGCCACATTCAGAACAGCAGCCTCTCTGTTACTCATATGGAAAAAATGCAGAATCTACCTGGTTCCAGGGAGTTTTGCTGTCCAAAAGAGCACTTCCTTAGGGCAGGAAGCATCACTTCTTTTCCTTCCTTGCTGGAAGCTCAGAGGGTATCCTGGGAAAATACTGCGCTGTATTTTCCATGCTCTTTTTACAAATGTCGCTTCTGGCCAAGAAGGCAGGATGCTGGGTCAGCTGGACGTTGGTCCAACCCATGCCTTGTTTACGGCCTTGCAGCTCGGCCGCTGCTAAGCGAGCTGCGGGCCGCGGCTCAGCGAGGGCTGGCAGGGCCTGCTGAGCTCTGCGCTCTGGCTTGGCTCCCCAGCAAGTGACCATGAAGCAAGCGTGAGGATGATAACACACACAGACCCATGCCTCCCTCGGGGAATCATGCGTTTATACATGAATCATCAGAACAGGGAATGCTCTGAAAGGAAGGAGCCAGCGTCCCTACGGCCGTGCTGAGGCCAGTACCTGGCCGTGCGTCCTGGCAGTGGCCGTGAGGAGCTGTGCGTGGAGTTTGTCCCTCCCTGCAGGGTGGCCAGGGGCTCCTGGTCGTGGAGCCATCATAGGGCAGGATCCAGAGCTGCTCTCAAACAGTCAAACAAAACCCTGCGGCTTAGTGGCTGAAGGCAGCCCCAATTGTATACAGTGATACCACAGTTATATAGCTTAGGTGTAATGCTTATGCCAAGTATTATTATGCAAATGCTTTACATTTCATGTATTTGTATTAACTCATTTTTATCATTTTTCTAAAGATTTTCAACTTTACCTACTTAACACTTAACACAAGTTAAGTAACACTAGTAACTACTCTGATAGTAGGGTTTTCTCAGAAGCAATTCAAATTAGCTTACTGTTTTCCTCTTCTTAGATCCTTTGGTAGTGTCACTGCTCTCAAAATAACTTTATAGACATTCAGAAAATAACAGGTTGTACTTCTGAAACAAATACTAATTTCCTGTTTGGTTCAAACGAATACAATCCAATTATCTTCCTGCTGTTACAGTTTGATGTTTTCCAGAGCTTTCCCACTGGCTGCTGTACCTGACACTTCTTAGTTTCAGTCCTGATGTGAGTCTAAATTCAAGGAGTTAGAATTACCTTAATGCTTAAGAAACCCTTGATGTGGCAGTTAAGATTGGATTAATTAAAGTTTATATGGATTATTTAAAATCTTTTTTATTATTATTTTATTGGTATTTGCAGTTTATAATCCAGTACCCTCAAACAGATAACATTAACATGATTTTATCCACTCATTAATGGTCAGTGTTTCAGAACATTTAGACTTTCCCAAGCCCTATTAAAATTTCTGAAAACAGAGACATTTTCCTAACCTCAAACTTCTCTTTCAATTTTGTCCTTTTTTCTTCATTTATGCTTGCCCATCAGATCAACATATTAACAAGTGTTCTCCTTAATGGGGAATATCATCGTATTATTGTATATGAAGGAGAAAAGGGAGCAAGATGGGGTTTCACCACTGCTTGGGGAGTTGCTGGTGGCGGGACGGGGGAAAGAGTTGTTCATTTGTTTGTTTTTCCAAAAGTGATGTCCTCACTCGCAGGACAATGTTGTCAATCATAAAAGTATTCAGTTGATAAATGATTTCTGCAGTTTTACAATGCAACTCTTAATAGGAACTGCATAAAAGTGTATAAAAAGAGTTCACTTCTTCCCAAGGGAAACCATGTCTGTCAAGACTTACACAGCTGAAAGCAGACAAAGTTGTGCAATTACATTTTCAAGCACTTGCAAACTGTTTGCCAAAATTTTCTAACTGTTGGCATCCTTCAAACATATGTTTCTGATATCTCCCAGATTTTTCCATTCTTTCTATTTTCAATAGTGTAAATATTCCTGAAAACTTGTGTGCTCAGTTCCTGATCTGGCAAATACAATTCATATGTATATACTATATATTTAATTTTGAGAATCTCAGCAGTAAAGATGAGCTATTTTCTGAGTAATGTGTCTCAAGGACTAGCTATAGGAAATGTTGCACTGAAGCAAACTTGTTACCCAGCTGCTTGGCCATCACTTTTTCAAATGGCTAAAGCCAGATGCTTCCAAGAAAAGAGCAAGGAATCTCCTCCCAGTTAACTAGATATTAAGAGCTAAAAAATGAGAATGAAAAAAGTTATGTAATTTGTCCATTTAACTTTTTCTTCATGAATATCTGAATGTCAACAACTGCCTATTGCAATTGATGTCATGGTTTAATTTTGTGTGGGAAAGTATTTTATTTTATGGCTTGGTGTTTGACAAAGTCAAATGCCATCTTGTTCTTGTACTGAGCCAGGGAATACAAAATCTCAAGAAACCTAATGCTGCGAGTTATTTTGTATTTGTCCTCATATCTCATTCATATCTCCCCTTTAAGCAAACTACGGTTCCAGTATTTTCAGTCTCTCCTTTGCTGATTATTTTCCACCCCTTCAGGGAATTTTACTACATTTCTCTGAGTCCCTAATAACTCTGCAGTGTGCTTTTGAGACGGAGAGTGTCTCAGATAAAGTAACAGACTGTTATAGACTGTTCTGCTCATGGCATTAGGTTGTTTGCTTTTTGCTATAGCTATTGCTTGAGGTCCATTGCTTAACAAGTTATTCACAGCTATGTCCAGTTCTCTTTTTTTAGGGCTTGTTTAAAACATTTCTTGTGAGCATTTCTTTCTGGTATATTTTGCATTTACAAGCCCCAAATTCCACTTGTCAGCCTGTTCCACTTAGTTACGTACTATCGTCTGAAATTTTACACTTCTGTTTTCAATTATCGTTTAGATATTTGACCAGATATAAATGCAGTCTTAGTGTTCTCTTCATTGTCCCAAGAACTTTTTTTTTAAAAAAAAAAAACAGAAGCAATGTTTGCTACTTACAACTCTTTTGCACATAAATGCTTTTTTAGTGAAAGATATTCTGTGTAGTTCTGTTACTAGATCAGCCTGTTTCTCCTTGATCTCTTTCAGCATTCTTGGATATTTCCCATTTGGGCAGGTTGACAGCTTGCTAACAGACTGCTGTCGCTATCCAGGTTTTCAAACAGGAAGTGAAAATAGGTCAGAAAGTCCCTTTTCAATTGACATAATTCAATATGGGACATAAGCTAAGATTGAATTAAAAACTGTTTGGATGAATGTGAGATTGGGATAGTAACATACATACATATATAGAAAATCATCCTCCACTTTTATCTACTTGGAGAACAAATAAAAAATCATGCTAGTGCAAATACGTATATTTGGGAGCAACTCACTTTCAGCCATAACAAGTCTGAAGGCATAAGCATTACAGTAGCAAATCTAATGGGAGAAATTCGGGCTCTCCAAGTACCAGTAGAGCAAACTGGAGTCCCTTGGAGTCCCAGTTCATCAATTTTGGGAAAACCCCTGTGCGTCTGAGCACTCTGATACAGCTAACCCTGATCAGAGACATGCCTGTGAGACGAGCCATTCACTGACAGGGCAATGAAGAGAACATTAGCCTGGAGTCAGGCTGTGTGGAGCAGCTCGGTCTTATCAAACTGAGCTCTCCAAGACCCTCACACATGTGCCTTAGTTTCTGACCACAGATCTGTATTTAGCCATTGTAATCAATAAAAGACACTGGGGATGCCGCAGGTTGAGCTCATCAGTCTCTTACTGCAGTCTTACTGCAAGGACTGGGTGAGTGGGTGGACTTCGAGGGAACTTCATGGAGAAGGAACACATTATGTGTCCCGTGACCTAGAAAATAGTTCCTTGAACCAGAAGAATCCAAGACTATTTGACATTTGGTGTGTATTTATATTCTATCCCTAGTTTTAACATTTTGGGCATGCTGACTACTTTGATTTCTCTTTATGCTCTTATCAGTAATGTTCATCAACAGTCTAAGGACTGCTTGTCATTTATATGGTTTATATATTCTTTATTTTCCATTGCATACTAACACAGTGTATCATAATGATCACATACATGAAGAACAATGTTAAGCAGAAGTTTAGCTCCCCACTATAACATATTAAAACATATTACACTGGCAGATCTGCTAATAATTATTTCCCATCCTGAAGTGAAGTTTGAATGGCTGTTTTTCAACCATTAAATAAAGTTTAAAAAAGGAAAATCACAGAATTAAGAGAAGAATTCAGATTAATAAAAATGCAACACCAAAGAGAATTCCTACTATTATCCCTATCTCTGTTTTTTTTTTTCACTTTACAGCAAAAAGACTTTTCCTTAGTGAATGTTTGTGAAAAGAGTTCAATTTGGAAAAAATTTAGATGAAAATAGAGAGACCTGCAAGTCCTAGATCAAACAAAGAAAAAAAGCTACACATGGTATAATACAGGTATTCTGAATGTATTACTTCCAGAGTAGAGAAATGTATATTATTCATAGTCTGTTAAAAATATAATTAAGTAGCTCTAGGAATACAAGACAATTCCATTAACAGTTGTTTCTGTCTTAGACATTAAAATGACAAAACAATATTGAGGATCAGCAGTATCCACTAATAACCTTCAATATCTACAGAACTTCAACTACTTAACATACTGTTAGTCATAAACAAAACTAGTTGGGAGCTTAGAAAATCCACTACAACCACAGAGTGCAAAGTAAAAAATACTATACTGAAGGAAGTGGATTTCTGTTTTTTTTTTCTTTTTTTTTTTTAAGCATAAATATATATACAATAAAAAGCCCTATTCCATTTTTTTTCCTGGGATTTCTTAGATATCAGAGGGAATTCTGAGCACAGAACAAAGGTCGTATACGGCCTTACACTCAAAGAGATTGTTCAAATGCCCAATGCTCCCTGAAATAAGGAGAACAACATAGGGAGTTACCTGGTGAGCCTGTACTCTCTTCTTCATTAGGAATTGTTTGACTGTCGTGAGTTCTGTTCTAAAAATATCCTAAGTCCTTATGCGGTGCAATGAAATGCTACATTTACACAATAATAAACTGACTGGCATGCCTGTGAAACTCAGGCTCATATAAATTGACTACAGAAAGTGATTTTCCAAGAACAATTTAGCTTCAGCATTTTATAGTGACTAGTTGGCCATTTCAAAAACTACATAGGCATAAAGAAATTCCCAAAGTATTTGTGCCTGACTAGGGCCTGAAGGAAGAGCCAAACTGTTAACACAGCTGCACACTTCAGTAGGTTATCCCAACAGACTAAAGCTATAACACCCTAGACTGTACCATAGCCAGTTTTACAGGTTGAATTCAGCTTTACTTTCAATTACAAGTTCTAGCAAATCACACTAAGCTTTTTCGTTCTTTAAACCTAAGAGTAACAATGAATTCTCCTAACTCAGAAAAAAGTTAACTCAAGATAATAATTTTAGCAACTTTAGCATTGGAGCTGAAGTTGCTTGGCTTTGAAATAAAGTGCCATGAAACATAACTTTCTAAAGGTATCGTCATGAAGCATTGTATTGGCATACAGTGTTTGAAAGATGCTATGCTGTTAAATAAAAGGTGGGTAGCAGATTAGCAAGTTAACCAGTTTCACTTAAACTCTGCCATATGTCCATAATCTGCGCATAATGAGAAGGATACATATCTTTTATTTATATATTTTCATAGAAAGTGCATGTAGGCAAGTAAAATGGGAGAAATTAGATCAAAATCAACGTACATAATTCAATAGGCTCTTGAGTAAGAGATTAAAATAAAAGATAAGATGAAGCAGAAAACACTGCATGACTTACTGATAAATCATTTCATGATCTATTTCATTCTTTTGCCATTTAAGATGGATTGAAGAAGAGATAGATGAACTAAATTGTCAATCACACTTGTGCAGGCAAAATTCAGAAATACTGGAAGAGATTAGCTGGATTCATCTAGAAGTTGAAGTCACACCGATATAAAAGCTAAAAATCTATAAAGAAAACCTGTCAAGCTACTGATCGCTTATAGAGATGATATTTGGACAAATTATTTGTTAATTTCATCTCTAGTCATACTGCGAGTCTATATGAAATAGCTAGTTAAATCAAATACTGAACAGAGCATAGGCAGCTGTGGAGAAAAAGGCACTAAAAATTCACATTTCCAGTGCATCTTAACTTACAGAAGTTTTTTCTTACTTTTAAAATCAAATACGATGTAAAAGATTAAATTCCTTACTAGAGCCATACAGTTTAGAATTGGCTTCTTAAAATATCTCTTAACTGTTATTTTTCTTAATACTGCCTTTCTGCTGTACTCAGAGGTGCTCTCAGCAGCACTAACAGATAAAAGAAAAATGACCAAGGCTGAAACTGCTTTGCCATTTGGGAACCTCTGAATTCAGGGAGCCCCAGGGACCCAGCTTGGAGGCCCACCTTGAGTGAGTAGCTGAGACACTCACAGAATGAAAAGTCTTATTTGCCAATCGAAATGTCCCTACTGTGAAAGTTAGAAATGTGTATGAACATACATGACACTCGTGAATAATTTAAAGATGGCATTCAAATACTAAGTTTGATAACCTCCTATCAGAGGAAGTGCACAGGCGTCTGAACTCCTTCTATGCTCTCTTTTTGAGCTGCAGCAAATGATCTTCAGTAGCAAGTGCTGGTGTCTGATGACTGATGCACTATACATCTATATGTATGAAAAAGACTATTTCAACTTTGAGCTTTTAATAGATTTTTATGCCAGATTCATAATTGCTGTAATTTAACAGCCATAGGTAGCTTCACAAGAGTTACATATGCTACACTAGCTGAATTTGTCCTGCCACACTCAAAATTTCCTGGATTTCTATTCTATTCAAAAGTATGTTACCAAACATCATTGCTCAATAGTGGAAAAAATTACTTGACTTTCAGTAGCCTCATTCATAAGAATGTAAAAAATCACTGAAGATTAAATAATTGCACTTACAGTAGACAGACTTGATAGAGGTACAAAGAATTCATGCAAGTGGTGTTTAATGGTTCAGATATTGGAATTATGCTAGCCGAAATAAGTTTCTAGCTTTAGCAGTAACGGCCCAAGTGTCATACCAGACATTTGGTTTGTGCTGCTTCAGCATGAAGTGGAGAAAGGCCTTTATATCAGCATTTATTCTGTTACTTCTTTCATAAATTAGAGAGCAAAACAAAACCAAGCACTTCCAACAACACACAATACACAGCCCCATCCTGTAAGGAGATATAACTGAACCCTTTTACAGGCAGGTGTGCTGCTTAAACCACTGAAGCACCACATAAATTCAAGGATCTGCCCTGGTGATTGCTCATAGAACTGGGGTTAAATGCTGTGTTTCAATATTGTGCTTCTTCCATGCAGTACAACACTGCAATATGCCTGCTTGGGTTTATTTTATATGTGTATAATATATACACAAATAAAAAGTATCTTCTGCAAATAATATTTGGAATGTGAAAGACACAAAATGTAAACATTTTATTTGGCAGTTGTTTCAAACAGGTGAATAAATAAATGGAAAAGTACATCTTAATATTCTTTATAGCAACAGATGCAGTTGCACAAGTATTTACATATTGTGGATGCAAAGAACAGTTAAGTTAATTTCTTTTTGTTAAAAAATGCAACTTCCAACACTACTAGACTTGACAATTAAAGATGAAGATACTAGTAATACTTTGTTCTAGCAATCTCAACTTTTTAAAGGCATTCATTTGGAAGTAAGATAAGAGAGTCATCATGCATTTAGTTCATTTTGTCCACTTATGGTAGAAAGTCTGATGTAATCTCAGAATTATGAGTGTCATGCGCTTAAGTCAACTATGACATGTTTATAAATCAATGTAGTTCCCTTAAAACTTGAAGCAAAGAGAAAATCTCGTTTATCGATGGAGACATGTATGAAAGATCTTGGTGCCTGTACGTTTAATTCTTGAAACTTCATAAATTTTGCTTTTTCAGCATCCCAATAATAGACTTGAGTGAAAGAATAATCACTTCCAAGAATGGCATATTGATAATTACTTATCTGAAGTGGTTGGAATACCATTGACCCTCGAGATGGCATCCTCTGTAAATCCATGAATGCTGAACCACCCCATTTCATTACTTTAGAGTCCCCAATAAATCTTGTTAAACAAATGTACACATCCTCTTTCACTTTGAAATGTTTTACTGCATACGCATCTTCCATATCTTGGATATCAAAACGCTTAACAAATTCATTTGTTCCTTTGTTCCATTGATATATTACAGGTCTTTGGGAACTACTTGACAGAATTAAATGCGGTTTGCCGGATATTTCAAGATACTCCACATCAGTATCTCTGTACCAGGCATGCAGAGACTGATGGGAATAAAATCCATTCCCATTCCATTTGTAAACCGTGGTGAAACCAGCTTTTGAACTGTCTGCAACAACAAAATACCAGTCTTCAGCAATCCTGAAAGTTTCAATGTCATTGGGTTTTCGGATTTTAAGGATTTCAATATCTTGAATTTTTATAAACTTATTAGCAAAAATATCTCTTTTATATATGTGGGAGCCTCCAAACAGCTGCGCGACAATGACATACAGCTGACTCTCAATAACTATAGGTTTACACACAACAGTTGAAGTACCTATAAAGAGAAAAATAAAAGACATGGTTAGCACTGCTTTCTGGATCCTGGACCTTAATGTTATTTGGCAAGCACTGTTCATACCTGTAATGTTGTCATAGTTCCTGAACATCACTTCTACATGGTCCCATTCAAGAAAGATGCATTTTCCAGTAAAAGGTTGGGCAATAACCACATGCTCATCGTTCATATATGAGAAAGTGTCCACTGACAGAGATTGATATGGCAGGGACTGATAAACTTCAAATTCTGCAAAATTGTACACACACACACACACAACATATGGTAATTGCAGAGATACTTTCCCTGCTATACTGAAGCAGTTCCTACTTAACAGATATGAAACCATTACAAATTACATTATCTAATCACCAGTCAAATTTTCCGATGGATAAAGGAGCACTACAACCTATTTTTCATTCTTGCTCAGTTAAGAGAGGTACTATTTTATGTCCGAGTTCTTCAAATCCTTGTACAACATGTTAAGACTGAGCACAAGCAGTAAGGCCCCGCTCCCAAATCCTTCCCATGCCAGACTTTACACCCACACAGAATTCATATTGATTTTAGTAAAAGGTGTATCTGATAGACCTTTGACTTATTGCAAAAATGGACCTTACATTAGAAAAGAATAGATAGCTTTGCTTTTAATTCAACAAGATTAAATAATTTGAAGCACATTACCTGTAATAATACAATCAAATTCTTTTGGAGAGAGGGTATTGATTTTGCGCTTCTTATATTCCGGTGGGCTTTCACAGTAAATGTCTTCAACTGTTGCATTGGTGCTACCCAGCCACTCCACTAACCACTTCAGTTTGCAGTCACAATTAAACGCGTTTCCTCTAAGATCCCTAAATAAATAAATTAAATAATGCACAGAAAATAAGGAGTTAGCTGTCTCATTTCTCCTTGCAGGACAACAACAAACTGGACTTTTGTTAACTATATACCTCTTGCTTTCTCTAAATAGATGCTTTCTCAACTTAATTTGTCCTGATCCATTAGAGATCCTATAGTCAGTCAAATCTACATACCAGAACCCAAACATATTCTAGTCCCTTAAGGAAATCAAAGAAAACTTAATTTGATGATCAGTAAAACACTTCTGTTCATAGATACACAAAGTCCTAGCAAACTGCTACATATTTAGGGAGGCCATTTCTTTTGAATTAGCTTTTCTTAGTAAAATCATTGTAGATAAGAAAACAGCCATTAATGTAAGTTGTCAGCCAGTCAGGCAATATTTGTTATCTCCCTCAGCAGACAATGCTTAGGGTTTTAGGAGACACAGCGCAAAGGAGCCCTGTGAAGTATTTACAGTTGTCTTCTGTCACGTTTCAGAACGCCTGCTCAGGAATGGGAAGTGCCAGGAGCCGAGTGTGTGACCAGCTGGCGGGGATCAGTCATGCCAAGCAATGTCCTCCCGCACAGGGCACGTCCCCCCGCAGCTCTGCACGGTGAGTTCAGCCCACACGGGGCACAGAGCGGGCGGCCTGCTCCTACCACCCTGTGCCGGGTGAACCACAGACCGGCACACTGCAAACAGGCCACATTTCAGTGAAGCAGTTGAAGGGTTTAGCTATGTTTTATATTTTTTTATTCATATTTAATTTGTATATTTAAACAAATTGATGTTTTGGAGTGGCTGCAATTAGATTTAGGATATGGTACTCAATTAATTAAGACATTTAAACTATGCGATAAAAGATAACCTTCCCAGAAACATGTTGACATCAGAAATGTTGTTTCCATGAAATGTCATCCCCCCACGCTTCATATTGTGCTCTCATGCATTCTCAAGCATCTTTCTTTCTTTTTACTATGTCTTAACAAACATGCAAATCTCTTACATAATTATTAACATTTGTAAATAGTGAAATATTACAAGATAAAACAAATGATCAATAACACTGCACAAAAGTCAAGCCTATATCTGCTTCTATAATCTCTACTCAACAATAAGGAGGTCTATTGGCTTGAATAATTCTCTAAAAAGATCTATTTGTGTTTTTTGGTATAATTAATAGTTTAAGAACTGAAGATCAACAAAAATACCACACCAAAATATTTTGCAATATTTTCCAGTCATGAAAAGGGAATAGCATCTTTTCTAACCAGTGTTTGTTAATAAGAAATTGATGATTTCTTACACATTTGTTAAAGAATCCAAGCCTTTGAAGATGTCTTTTGGAAGTGTTTGGAGATTGTTATTTGCAAGACTCCTGTAAAAAAAGATACTTTGGCATCAGTGCTGGCTCATCAAATTACACATTTATGTGAGGTATAATACTGATTTTTCTTTTGTTTGTTTTGATTTTTTTGTACGGTAAAGAGCCCTAGTATTCTCCCGCACTCTAGTTCTAGAAGATTGCTTTCAAGAATAGCTCATTTACTTTATAACTCTTTCTTCTACTAAAATATCAGCCCTCCTCCTGCTTTCTTGACTCTTCAGCAGCCTTATAGCATTTACAATACTTCATTTAGTGGGGTAAAAAGTGCAATCACCTCTGGTGTTTTGCCAACACCATTATTTTAAAACAATTAGTCATGATTGGATCTACTAATGTTTTCTGTATGATGCAGCAATGAGTCGCGTTTGTCTCACTGCAACCTTCTGCTTTATTTTCTCTCTGCTGGAAGAAAAATCTAAACACTGTGTTTCACTCTATTGAATTTAGGCTTCTTTAGCCTAAGTCTTTGCAAGTATGCAGTAATAGACAAGAAATTGCTGATCAGCATGAACTTTGCTAAAATGTGCATGTGTGTGTGTAACCGACAAAAACAGTTCTGAATTCCCTATTTTTAAAAGTTTAGAAAGCAATCTTAAATTCAATTAATATTTCCGCTAGTAAGACATGCAAGCAGGCTTTCTACAAAGATGGTATTAAATTTTATTCAGGAATGTCTATGTAAGTCCACCAAAGATCCTGGGTACTCCTACATGTCACTGAGGACATGGCAGGAAGAGAATAATTTTACTGGGTACAGAGTAAGGCCTCCTTTGATAAAAAATTATTTACTATTGATGAGAAGAGATGAAAATAGAAAGAAATCCTTCTCATGCAAGATCCCACTTAGCTAGTAAGACTTAGAAACTTCCATTTTTAGTTGTAAAAACAAAATGTACTTAACAATTTCTCTACACAAGTAAAGCCACTTAGGCCTATACTAATTCAAGAACAGGTACAGACTTACAGAAGCCAGTGAGTCCTCTTTGCCTTATCCAGAATAATGAAATTGGGATTCTGTTATTCTATTCTTACTTTATTGCTGTCTATGCATACCTGATTGCAACATTGCTTGGTAGATGTGTCATGCGCCTCACTTATTTTTCATTGTATACACAAGAACAGTTCTCTAGAAGTCAGCTCAACTCATGTGAGCAAAGATAAGCAGAACTGGAAGCACAACGGGTTCAGCACACTGTATATTCCTATATTCTTAGTGACCTGCTTCATACCAAACTGAAAGGGGCGATAGACTTGGAAGTGCCAGTGGTTCACCTATGCTACAGGAATCTAGTTGAAAGAAAAAATTATGTTAGTTTTATAGATTTGCCTACTTTTGGATTAAATCATTCATTTTTTGTTCTGTGTAAAAAGCTACATACACCCTAGGTAACATGCTGCCATGTCTAGATAGTGCTCAGTATGCTATTCGGTTAATAATAAAAACAAAGGCAGAGTCAAGCATTTAGTTATACTTATGGACACATATTTTGAAATTCTGAAAGAAATGCAGCGAAATTGTTTATTTTTTCTTAAGTTTAAACAGCAGATGAATCGTGTAAAATAACAATAAATATGAAATGGTTCTACTTCACAAGGCAATTATTAAAGTTAACTGCATAATAAAACTACAAATGTTTGTATAATTTGCTTCATTGCAAAAGTCATGTTGTGAGACGAAGTGAATAGATTAAATAGGAAAAAGTTCATCTCCTCCTCTAACTTCATGAGAGTTGTTATTATGCTTATTTACTAGGCTCTTTCAAATGTACTTTAATGGCTCAAAAGTACTCTCCTGTTTCTCAAATGAGAAACGCCTCAGGAGGCCAAACAGTTACTCTTAATTTGTATGTACAATCTGTCCCAAAGGGTGGGGAGCAGTTCTGCAAAGAGATTATCTAGTCACAGTCTGTTGTTTATGGACCTGCTTTTGCAGTTATTTTGTCTGAAAATTTCTCATCGTCCTCTTGTAATTCACTTCATGCCCAACAGCACCATGATGCATAAATCTCCCAAAAATGTGCATGCAACCACATGCAAACCGTAATGGCTTCTCAGATGTGATTCTATCTTTTGCATATGTTTTCTCTTATGAAACTGTTGAAGCATCCCCAGAAACCGACATAGCAGTCAAAGCAAGATGTTACTCTTGGACTGTACACTCAGATGGAGAAGGAACTGTGTCTTCCTCTGCGTTAGAAAAGCAATTTGCTCGCTGGCAGTAACAGCTACTAAATAAATAAATGGATATAATAAATAATGTACTGGAACCTATTGTGAATATTCATGTACATAGATATTTTGAAGATAGGGTCCCAGTTACCAATCTTACCAATCTCTCTCCCCTTTCTAACAACACTATAATTATGCCTATAATATAATTATACCTAAACTATAATATGGATTTTTATAGGATGTGCACAACCAATTTATGTATCTTTTCCCTTCTTTTCCTTCTTTCCCCTTTGTCAGTCCTAGAGGTTTTCTACAAGTGACCTCCTATACGTGAGTAGTTGCAGTAAATTCACGGTTCAGCAGTTTGGAGTCTAGTCTATTCCAACCAAAGAGGAAACAGTAGAACATTTTACAGTACAGCCACTATGTGGTGCAGGATTTGGTGAGTTGTAGTTAAGCTATTATACTTATGCATTAATTATTTAAATTTGAACATGTTCTGTCTTCTGCATCTAGATTTATTAAAGAAAAAGGCAAGTGATCCTGATTTAACCCCTCTTGGAGGTTATGATGTTAAAGAAAAAGGTCAGGATCCACTCCCCTGCTTATGACAAATACCCCAAGATATACGCTTATAAATGCAAATGCTCAGAGATGGGTATAAATCTGCATCAAGCACACCCCAAATGGTTTTGCCTATGTATAGGAAGTGCATTATATAATCTAGCCTTCCTCTCTAACAGGAGGTCTCTCTAACAGAATACATTGTATTTTTAATGCTTTTTAGAGTGTATACTGTATTTTTAATAAATTACCACTTGTTAAAATAAAATTGTTAAGACATAAACTTGACATAACACAGAGACAGAAGCCTGTTTAAAAACTCCCTTGTCAGATCAGACCTTAAGGATGCTACTCTTGCATCTGCAGTTAAATGTTACAGGTATTCATCGCCTGGGTGCGTTTTAGCTGCCGAGCACAGCAGGGAGATACCTCTGCTGATCTGCACGTGGCAAGTGCTGTGTCTAATGGGCACCTTAGCACAGAGCGCTCCTGTGGCTAGTGTAGGCTCTGTGTGAGGGGCCTGCGGCGTGGCCGAGGCCAAGGGCCTGGCGGGGCCTCCGGAGAGCCAAAGAGCTGTGTGGGTGCATGGGGAAAGCAAAGCAGGCCCCGGTGCTGGCCCCGGGGCTCCGCTGATGATCCTGCTGAAGTCCAGTGGCTGATTTTGCCACAAAGCAAAATGGAAGAACTGGGTCTGTAAATCACCTTGAACAGAGCGTCGGTGCAACTCCCATTTTTAAAATCGCTGAGCGTAGGTGTTTTCAAACCTGATTGAGTCACAGTTGATGGGTATGGGCAGTGGTTGAGCTGAACACAGCTATGAAAGGTAGTAGCTGGTTCCAGCAATGGAAATAATGTGCTTCCAGATCCACGCTACACTAGACGTGCCTGCGAAGAGACAGGCTTCAAGCCCTCAACACTTACATCTTTTCTCACCAAGTCCCAAACAAGGACTCAGACACATTCCCTCGCTCTCCTATCTCACCTCACTGGCGCCAGGTTCCTGACCCATCCTGTTTTCATTCTGCTCCTCCTGCTCTGAGCAAAGAGAGGCAGGGAGCTATTGCCACACACTGCTTGCAAGCTGTTTGGGAACCATCCTCTATACGTACCGCAGTTTGCAACTCTTTGGTGGAAACACAGAGATTAACAGTCAAATTAAATTAATATTAGTACTGCTTAAACCAACGTAAATAGTGATGCATCAAAATGCTACATTAAACAACACAAAGGTTCAGTTACTATATTAAATGTACCAAGTAATATATTCAACCACTTTTACTTACAGGTGAATTAAAGATTTCAGTCCTCTGAAAGTATTTCTTGAAATTGACTTAATGCTGTTGTTCTCTATGAACCTGTAATGGGTCGCAAAGTCATTCCGGTCAAAGCAATGCCTGGAACTTGGAAGCCCACCCACTCTACTCAACAATGCCAGGAAATATCATTTTGTCCACTCACAAATATTCTAGATGAGGAAGGCCCATGAAAGCATCATCACTAATAGCATCAAATGTGTTTGATGTAAACAACCTGTGTAAAGAGATGCAAAACAAAACATTAAGTTATCAGCATCTTTAGAAAATGGTGCAGTAAGCCAGTGTGGGCCAACCTTCTATTGACTGGTTTTATAGTTTTGTCTCTGTAAGCACAACAGGATGATAAGGCTGCAACACACTGTAGATGTATTACACCTTTAGTGTGCTGCAAATGGAAGATTTCCTAAGGACCCAACAAATTGTTGCTTTGCCTCCTTGGGCTACCTGATAAAATTCCATTGACTTCTGCGGGCTATAAATGGGGGTTGTCATGCCTTTAAAACAGCCTGATAGCACAAGAGTCTGTGAAGACATACCTGGATGACAACGAAATGTTCAAGTACCAGGGAAGCCTGAACTGTGTTGAAGACCACTTACATTTGACAACAATACAGGGCAAGTATCCACCTTGTTAACCAGACATCAGGTTGAATTTGTGTAGCTGGCAGGTAGGATAAACCTTTAACTCACAAGTTATACTTGTGAGCTTACATGGCCTGAGGGTACTGAGAAATCACTGAGAAAAAATGGAAAATCTCATAACATCATTTTAATTTAGTCAGTGTTCATATCAGGACTATTTTAAAACCATACTTTACCAATTGGAGATGGCTCTGAGTGTGCACATATATTTTTCATCTGTCTAGCTGTATAAATGCCAGCAACATGCTTAATTTTACGTAATCTTGTAACCATTAAGAATGCACTACCGTGGATTTTTCCAGCCTTACGCAGATTCACCAATGTTTGCATTTGTCCATTTTAATTAAGCTCTGGCCTGCCACATCTTTAATATGACAAGGCATTATCAAGCAAGGCGAACTTCACTTTCCCCACTGGAACAACAGATGCACATGTATATTTTATTCAGTGGGCCTGACAGATACATGGGCTTATGCTACAATGTCCTCAGGCATTCAGGAATTCAAGATTTCAAAGTATGAATTAATACACTTAATGAGTTAACCTTGTATGTTAAAGTCTGCATTAAAAATGCAAATTTTTAATACAATAAAATTCCATTTGATTTATTTTCTATTTTATTTCTATTGCAAACTGTGCTTTTTGCATTTAATATGTGTTCCTACATCTTTAAAAATATATATAAGCAAGAAAGTCTTCCTCTTGGTTAGAAACAAAAGTATTTCTCTTTCTCAGAAAAAAAAAAGTATTTCTTTAAAAACTCTGGACCACAAGAGCCACTTAGTAAATCTGCTGCCTGCAATTTTTTTTTTTTTACTTTTCTGCTGAGGTTTTGCTGGGTAATCTTTCTTTTTCTGCACTCAAGAATAGGGTAGTGGCTCTTTAAATAGCATAGTAATTTAAATAGTATAACAGTTTTGGAGATCACTGGGCTTATAGCACAGGTCTTGCACTCAGTGAGCTCATTTGCCTCCCAGTATAGCCTCCCCCCTTGCTCTGACGGCTCTGTCACATTTATTTGATGCACAGAGTGGCTTTTCTCCCACTCGGTGACCTCAAAGGCCGGGTTTGCTCCATCTGTGAGGCACCAACTGGTTACTTCTGGGTTGGGGATGGAGGCTCGAGAGGCTGCTCTGCAGCTAGGGAGTGCATTGCTTAGCGGGAGCCACGTGCTGCGGGCAGGTACAAACCCCAGTGCTGCGATTACCTCCCCTCTCCAGCATTTTCAGGTCGCTGCTTTACAAGGGCCCCTTCAGCCCGCTGCAAGATGCACAGAGTTACACGGGCTGGAGGGGAAGGCAGGGAGATTCTGTCTGCATTTCACAAACGCTGCTGTTTGGCACTTCACCGTATCTGTGTAGGTCGTTCTTATCTCTGCTGCCACCCGAAGAGCACACAACGTACCATCCCCCCAAGAAGGGCTCTCCTGTCCTAGCTCTGTGCTACTCTTCTAGACGGAATGAAAAGGGACTTGTGAATGGTGTTTAGCACAACGGCATCGTGATTTTTCTACAGAGCATTGCCACCACTACAGGAAAAATCACAGGAAATAGAAATAGCAGCAGATATAATTCACACTCAGAAATATGCATCTTGCATACTGGAAATATCAAGTTAACATTCGGACCTTAAAAACGCTGGAGTTTATTACATAAAAAATATGGATAGGCTGCTAAATCTTGCTACTGGTTAAATTAAACCTACTAATATAGTTTTAAGCATGCCAAGTCAAAATTTAGCATAATTTCAAATTATCTTGAGTTTTGCATACATATTCTTATTTTGCTTACTCTGTCCTCTTTGAAATGTGGAGTTTTTTCTTTCCTGCTTACTAACTGGAGCGTTGGTCCCACAGATACAATCCTACTTCCCTGTGCCATATTTAAAGAGGGCTCATTTGCCTCAGATCAGCAGCCTGACACTTTACAAAGATGGCAAGCAGTTCAGCTACCATGTTAGAAATATATCTGGAACAGTATTCAGCAATATTTTTAGACAGCATAAGTAGTCTGTGGATTGTTTGGACCATTTTAACATATCACTCTTGAAAGCTCATCATGGAGCAAAACCTGCTCTTCTAGGGTTGGAGCTTTTGCTGCAGCGTTTTATTTGCAGCAGCTCAGAAAATGTAGCTCAATGAAGTGAATGCCAGACCATGCAAATAATTACTATTACCCAAATGCCAAAAGCTGTTGCCCTAGACCAAGACCCCACTGTGCTGGGCATAGATAAATTCAGAATAACAAGAATGTGTCTGTTCTACTCCACCCTACCCAATCTGCCTTCCCCAGTGGTGGGCTTGCCAAGTGTAGGAGGCATCTCGTAGCCAAGAGCAATGGTTATGATATCCCACTCACTCCCTTCAGATACAAGCACAGTACAAATGCTGCCATGTTTTTGTTTTTGTTTTTTTTTTCTCTTTCATTTAAAAGGCACTTTGCAGGAATTATGTGAGATATGTCTTTTCTGTGGTCTCTGACTACCTGGGAAAATCTTCTTAGGAATAAAGCACAATAAAAAAGCATTTAGGTTTCCATAGTAACTACATTTACCTATTTGCCCTGTATCCAAAATCGCACAGTATGTCTGCACCTCCTTATCAGCTCCACTTGAGGTAGCAGAGTACAGCTAGGGTCAGGATTCAGCTACCAGTGCACCAACAGTTTAATGTGACAGCCTTAGGGCTCCTATAGCCACACTATGTTTCTGACCAAACCGAGGGTGCATGTGAAGTCACTCTGGGACAGATGTCTGATTTTGATTTTGATCATATCAAGGAGTCTTTCTTGCCAGATTCCTGAGATGATCCTGGATGTGTTCCAGCCTGGTAGCACATCCACTATAAACAGTTCAGGTTACACCCCCTCTACCTTTGTATAACTAGCAATTATATAATCGTATGCCACATTTCTAGAAAATCTGTGAATCGGTAAAAATCTGATATAAAAATGAATCTAATATCTAAACATGCAAAAATATTCTCAGCTTACAATATTTGATTCTGAAATAATTGCTTAAAATTATTGTTCAACTAAAATCTTTACTTGTGTGTATTTTCAAAGAACATGAGAAAACAAATAGGGTCAAATGCAGACCCTATCCAGACAGAACTTGTGACTAAACTTCCACAGAAGTCAATGGCAATTTAACATGAAAAAGGACTGCAGGACCTGTCCCACTGAAATTAAGGACCTGACCTGAGAGGTTCTGAGGTTGTAGTCGATGAGAGTTGCAAACAGGCAGCATTTGATTGGGATCAGGCCCTAGGACTGCAGAAAAGAAACTGGAATAGTTGTTGCAATGCTTAGATCCCTACTGTAATATTAATTAAAGTATAAAGATAGCATATGTTCTGTCACAGAAAGCTTCAGAACGTAATAATTCAAAATAGCACTGACAACAAATATCCTTGCAAAATACTAAGCACATACAGTCTGAAAAAATTAAACATGCACTATCATTCAAATTACTTAAAACTCTTGTATTTTGCTATCTATGAACATTCTTTTGCTATTTCTTATAAAGTTAATACTGAGACCATTTCTATAGTATCTGTGGACACATTTACATTTCACATACAACAACAAAAAATACACAAATATTTCTCACAGAAGCTGCAGAGATGGTGTGAGCAAAAAACTCCCTTCTGGGATTTTAGTAAAAGCAGATCTCACAAAGGATCTGGAAAAAAGAATAAAAACAACCTCATGTTAATATAGCCTCATATACTCATGCTTATAATACTGATTTGGGTATCACAGAGAAATTTATTTATACAAGCACTGCAAATAATAAAAAAGAAAAAAATGCTACAGCTTTTATGTAGTATAGAGAAAGATATAAAATGGTATGTGTGCACATACAAAGACAGACACATAGACAGATGAAAGAGATGTTAAAATCACAATTCAAGGATGCAGCACAATTTTAACACATTAGCTGATGATTCTGAATGCTGGAGGTACTCCCTGCAGCAAGCATCTTTCAGTACGCACTGAAAACACCACACATCCAAGTTCATTTTAAATCATAAATTAAATAACCAAATGCTTACAGCCCTTACAGTGAGATAACATCAGGCGGAACGCTGCGAGGAATAGATCTGGCATTTTCACATAAAGCATTATCTTTGGTACAAGTACACCAGGCAGGACATTTTGGCTTCACTGGTTTCTTCCCTTCAGTCAGCAAAAGCACAGATAAAAGGCATAAGAAATAAGCAATTCTTCTAAAGGGTCTGCTGGCATTTCCCATTCTTTTGATCTGCTCTCGATCCAGTCAGTTGAAAGAATATCCCAAAACATGAACGGGGGTTCTTTATTCAGCCATTGGACGTCTTTCTATAAGTCCAGGTCAATATTTGTCTCTGCTTTCCCAACCCTTTTCTTTCTCTTTCACTCTGTTTTTGTAGACAGAAACCTGCAGCTGATCTGTATGTTTCCACTCACTCAGGCACTGTACTGCTCAGAGAAGAGACCTGCGAGGTGCTGTAAGATGGGGAAAATCCAACCGGCTGAAAAAAAAAAAAAAAAAAAAAAAAAGACTTGCATCACCACAAAAACACCGAGCACAACACAGCATTAGATTGCAAAGTGATGTAACTGAGAAATACACTGCTTTCTGTTTTCGCAGGGAGGCCCTTTCCCTGTTACCAAAAATAGTACAGCATTATGTTTTGCTGGTGGGTGGGTGAGTGGGTGTGGGGTGGAGTATACGTGTGTGTGTGGGGAGAAATCAGTCATCTTTTACTGGATCCCTACAACCTCACGAACCTCTGAGAATTGTGCCTTATATATTGCAAGCAGCAGAGGAACTAGAGCCAGTATCTCCTGGAAAATGAATCGAGGGAAACCATCAAAAGCATTGCTGCAAAAGCTGTTAGATTAATTTTTATCCTTAGCTCTTATTGCACATATTTGTACCACACAAAAACAAGCTGCTACACATGGAAAATATTACAATGCATGAGAGAATGCCTACAACTGTCATTCCTAAACAAATATTTTGTCATGCAAAATAGCCCTTAAACTGCATTTTTAAGACAAAAAAAATCAAAGAAACAAACAAATTTTAAAAAAAACACAGTCTGATGCATGTTTTCTGAGCTTGTGCATCAAGCACTGTTGAGAAGGGATAATATTAATTTAAAAAATCAAGTTCAGTATTTATTTGTTTGGGGACTGCTTTGATCATTTTACATGAAAGAAAATGTTTTTTAACACTAGCTATATTACAGTTATAGTTATGGACCTTATTTGAAAAATGAAAGGAGAGGGACAAATCCCTACGGCAATAATGAGTGCCTGCAATACTGCCTGGAGGCTGCAACTGGGGTTAGGTTTAGGTGCACCACAAACACCCCAAGACACAGGCTTCACCCTGAAGACTTTACAGTGAACTATATTAAATATTTTATTGGATCTTATGAAAGACAAGCGACACCTAAGTGTTATACTGCAAAGAATGGCAAGATAGACAGCTAATGAATGCCAAATAGTTGGAAATCCATGATGATTTTTTTTCTATTAGGAGGTTCCTATTAGAAGAGATTTGCAAACTTTAATAGTTCTCAGCGCTTCCACAATGCAACTGAGAGCATTATATAATTACAACATTTGCATCAATCTGATGGTAACAGAAAGCTTAACAATTTGCATCTTTCTTCGTCAGAAAGGGTGCCAACAAGGCCCTAGCACCCAGATGTGTGCCCAGTAGGAATTTCAGGTACTATGGCTGGGAGATGGCAAAGAGGGAGAGCAGCCTGCAAAACTGCAAGAAATGCAATATAAGGTGACTGGGGAGGCCCGCACTGATAGCGGAGTCTCACCAGTGTGAAGAGGCAGCCCTGGGTCCACCAAGCTCACACCAGCCAGTGGGAACTGCATCACCCAAGGCCCTCAGGATGGTTGGAAAGGTGCCCAAAGCTTTCAGTAGCAGAGGCCAGGCTGGGAGACAGCCCCACTTGTGCAACAGCCCCGTCCCCTCCACACGGCCCTGCCTGGGGGCAAAAGGGCAACTCTCCCTTTCGCCACGTTCTCTCTCTCTCTCTCCCTCTATTTTATTTTTTAATGCTCTTTATTAATTCAAGTGTGGGCCCATGTATTTGCTCACAAGAAAATCTTTCGTATCAGCAGGACTGGTTCCAGCCAGGAGTGCCGCAACGCTGCACTAATGCAAAGCCCTTCCATCTTCTATAAGCAAATGGCACAGCATTACAGTAACCAAAGCGCTGCAATCATTACCAAGCAAATGGTGCTCCCTTCCCAGGGGCATAAAGGTTAGTCCTTGCTGTGGAAATGATGTCATAGCAGCACTGAGAAGGCAGCTGGCTTGGCGGTACTCGCCTAAGTCATCTGCGTTACCTTCCTGCCTTGGGAACTGACCCCTCCGGAACTCCGAGTGGCCCAAACTTCTGCTGAGGTGAGAACAGCAAACACTCTAACTTTCTTTTGCTGAAAAAAAAAGGCCCGTTGTTGTTGTTTGTTTATTTCTGGCAAAGCTACTCATTGCCATGGCAATATTTTGCCATTGATGGTAAAACCCCATGTCTCTTTTTTTAAGCTCATTCACTGAAATCCACCATCAATTACCTAGGCATTTCTTTTTAGTTTATACTCCAGCAACACTGTGTACCTCCTGGAAACTTCGCAGGGGGGCAGTTTTTCTGTAACAAAAGCACATTCTGTAGCAGAACAGCAATCCTGTTCTAATTTTATCTGTGCAGAAAACTGCCTTAGTTTCCTATTCCAAACTACCAGCCAAAACAACTGTTTTCCCAAATTGCAAGCATTATGAATATTTACAACAATTCTGCAAATAGAGATGCATACATTATATTTTTAAGGCTCCTTTTGTGCCTAGCTCAGTATCTTAGCTCTTGCTATGGCACAGTTTAGAAACCACATTGCTCTGTGGATTTTCAGGGGCATTCGCACTCTCGAGCCATTGCAACACTTGGCTCCCGCTTTCCCAATGCCGTCGCCGCTTGCTTTCTGGTTCAACAGACCAGGCAATCGCCTGCTGTGCCCACATCTGAGCGTCTCCTTCTAGGGCCTTGCTGGCTTGTTTTTATCTTATATTTCAGCTTTTGATAGGGCACAATGCAGGTCATAATTAAATTCCCTGTTTTCAGCGTGTTTGATGGAGAGATGTGGGTAGGTTGTGGCTTGTTGGATTAGATAGGCTTCTCATTTTTTGCTGATTTAATGGAAAAAGCTTCACCTTGCATTGCAATGGAGGTGCTTGCTGGCAGACATGTTTCAGTATGGGCAGTGATAAGCTTTTGCTGTGCTTCTGGCTCTCATTATTAGTTGTAATCTGGTTTATCTGGCTTCGGTGAGATGTTAATTAGCTAAAGCCATTGGATCCTTTTTGGTAGAACGAGATATATCGATACAGACATATGTGCCTATATTTCAAGCAAATCATCCTTAAAATTAACTCAGTTTTCTCAGCTGTGACTGCTAAGTCTGAATTACACTGTGTTCATTTTGTGTTCTGCTCTACTATCACTACTGCTAGGTGGCTACTGTAGCCTGGCAACACGGAGAACTGCAGTAATCTCTGTTCTCTACAACCTCTTAAGGTTTAACTGCTAACTCCTATCAGTAGGTTTTGCCTTTTGCATTTGCTGTGCACTTTCCTTTACTTACAAATTTGGCAGAGATGTCCACCAGTTCCTTGTTTTCTTTCCTCCTTTATTGTAGCTGCTTTCTTTTAGCTTAATCAGGTCTGAGAAGAAGCCCTCAAAAACAAAAAACACATGGAATGAGGCCAGTCTAGCCCTTGGAGACATGAACCTGCTTGTCGCAGTTTTTTCTTCTAAAGCTTTTTTTTTGTAATTTTTGTCGTCTTCTTTAACAGCTGAGAATTATTCAGAGCAGAGCAGATTTTATTATTTCTTATACTTTTTAATATGCTATGGTATTTCTCTTTTGTAATTTTGACTAGAGAGAAAGAAAGTAATCCTTAATGAATAAATATCACTGACATATACTCTCTGCATGATAGGAACAAAACAACTTATTTCATCAAAGATATCTAAACTGTGTGATGAAAACCTCTGATAATAAAATATAAAGTTTGGTACTGTCATATGACACTCAAAACTAAAGATGCTTTAGGTAGTTGTCATTAGTACTACCTAATCCATCATCTGGTATTCTGTTTCCTAACCAGATTCAGCACAACTTTTGCAACTTGGCTTCTAGTGCAAACATATGCATTTATTATTATTTACTAGAAATATATTATTTACAAATATTCTTGAATATGTGGTTTAAATTTGAATAGTTCTATGAGTAAACCTGTTTATTAAAATATTTAAGGAAAGTAAACACAAAAGGTCAGGCTATAGATCCAAATTTAAAAAAAAAAAAGATATATTTTTTAGGGATTAATTCTGCTCCACTGTCTGTATTTGCATACTCACATTAGTCCAATATGTTTTCATTACCAACATATGGCAAAGTTCTAATAAGTTTCCTGTGACTACGTTTCCTTTTGCAGAAACATATACTACTACAGTTGTAATGTATTTCATCCTGCTCAGGGAAAATTTTGTTGTCTTTTCTGTGTTCTATATGAGCTGCCTGCACATACGTGGCCTAATCCAAAATCCACTGAAGCTGATGGCTGGACTTGAGTAAAATTTGCTGGGCTTTGCCAGTATTTTACCACACAGATACACAATCATCAAAATCACCTTCCTCCCCTCAAAAAAAATTCAGGAGTCTTATTCTTCTAACAGACAGGATATTGTCCCTTATACATGACATTGTATTTGGGGCAGGATTTTGAGATTAGAGACTCCAACAAATGTTTCATAAATTCTAATTTTCCTTCTCAGAGGGCCACCCTTTTCACAAATTCTGCAATAAATGACAAATTTCAAGCAGTTGAGGCTAAAGCTGCACTTCCAGTAAACAAAACTAAGTCTTGAATTCTAAATAGTTCTGAAAAGACTATGCTTCCTGGTGGATCTGGCACCACGACACAGTGCCAGGAAGAGGTCTTCTCCAGGTTAAATATAATAAAACTAGAAATGCCTTTACAACAGTTCATAGAACAGCTAAAAGAGAATTATTAGAGAGATGCCTAGAACTTTTTATTTGAACAAGTCTCCTAACCTACTTTGCCCTGTCCACGGAGTTCTGTATTGCAGACATCCTTCTTTATTATGCCACAAGAGTTTCATTAAATGCAAAACAATCAGGCCAATCTCTGTGTCAAAAGGCTGAGAAAACTGCTACTGTAATTGCTGCCAACTTTAAAGGAAAGAAAACCTCTGAGGGTGGCCTCTTCTCCAGTTGAGAAAAACTGGCCAGTTCACAGTTCACCGAGGAGTTATATCAACATGCCACTAATGCACCTTTAAAGTGAACCAGGTCTTAGCAAAATTATATGCTGATGCAGAATATGGGTAAATGCGCAGATGGCTCTGTTACTGGTTTAGTTATACAATAGTTCGACCAATGACAAAACAAAACAAAACAAATGTTAGGAGAGATGCACTGTAATCTGAACTATCATTACTTCAGAAAAACAGATGTGCAATATGTTTCATCCAGACAGAAGCTAGACTGAATTCATTCATGTTTAGTTTTATTTTGGGGGAATTTTTTTAACAGCTAGGGATGGATAGACACCCTTATTTTCAAATGCAGGTTTTTAAATAGTAGGGAATATTACAAACTACCTCAGATGAGACTTACAAGCAATAGTATTTCTGCTCCCTGTGATTCCTGAAAGGCTTACAGCATCATTTAGGTTAGAAGTAATTAGGCAGTCAATTTGGTCCAATCTCCTGGGAAAATGAGAGTGACAAAAGCTAAGAAGATAGAGACTAAGTATCCAAAATGTGTCCTTTTGATATTATATGCTTTTTAAACCAATACCACAAATTTTAAAGGATATAATCTGTAAACTGCTGATATTGACAGTACTGCTTATGTTACATGTGTTTAAATATTCTGTTGGAGTGTCTTGCTTTTGCTAGTTTGATCATCTTCCAGGCCAGGCTGTAATGTGCCACACACTGCCATAGCAATAGCTTTATTTATTTATTATTTATTTATTTCTAACAGATTAGCAAGCTGAATTGGGTCACCTTCCAATGACATGATTACCAGATCTCATGCACAAGAAGAAGGAGTTCGCACCACCTCTTTTGACAGCAACCTGGAAAAGATTCAGTGTCATAGGGAACTTCACCTTCACCGCTCTTCTCGCAGCTGCCTCATGCACAAAGTACCAGCTGAGGCTCTTGCTGCTTCCTTTGCACTGCCACTGCCGCTCACCTCCACATTCTGGGGAATGGTAACCACCAGTGTCACAGTTTCATGTTTGAAAAAAGGCCAGGTCTGCTGGAAAGCTTGATAAACTCCTGGAAATCACATCCAATCTGGCCTGACCCTGGATAAAGAATTGGTTTTCCTATGAAGCAAGAAGCTCTACTAATTTACTCAGGTTGGGGTTCCAGAGAGTCTTCTCTAAAGATTATTTTTCATTTGCAGCTGTATTCCAGTGTTAGGGTGGAAAGAAGCGATGGGGGACAGGAGCTACAGGACAGGTGTTGACTGCTGAGAGGTATCTGTAGAATTGAAGCTTCATTTTTGCTAATATAAAACTCCCTGTAAAATAACATCACGCAGGAAAAATGTTCATGGACATTTAAATGAACAATGGTACAGAACTATCTCAGTCAAGATCAAATGGGACATAATATGAACTTCATAAAATGCATTAGTATTTAGACAGTCTCGTTTAAGTTGCCCTCTAGCTAGAGGACAACTCTCAAAAGATTTATACTAACGGACACTTGGTAATTATGATCACCACCCTGCCAGGCCTTCTCCTAACTATTCATGAATTTACTGGTTGTTTATAGGAGGTACTTTTTATTACTCCAGTGAAAATATGGAGCAATAAAAAATGCAGTCCAATAAGAAACTCATAGCTCAAATAAACAACAAAAAATCCAAATTCCCTAGCAGGATCAAGTGCTTTCCACAGACCCAGAACAACCTAGCAATGTCATTGTAGCTAAATGCCATTTAATTGGCAGCAAGAAATGTCTATAATACATTTCTTTGTGGAAAATGTTTGAGCCCCTCCAGTCTGCCAAGATGCTAATTAAAAACAGTTGACATGTTATAAAATCCTTCCCTTGACCTGTGCTATTTCACATTGACCTTCTGTATTCTGTCATTGAGTCCCTGCAACATTAATCCAATCTTTATACACTTGTATTTAATTTTATCATTTTGAAGACAAAGTAACTTAAATATGATTTATTTAAATGTAAATAGAAAATGTATTTGTTACATAGGAGAGGTAACAGGCTTTTGAGGATAGAATCTTAGTCATTAAAAACAAAAGGTTTCTGACTAAGTCCTGAATAATTCACAACGAAGGAAATCTTAGCCCCATGAAGTCACTCAGATGGTTCAAGTAAAAGCCTTGTTGGAGTATCACTGATATAATAAACTACACACTGAGAAGGATGTGGCTCATCAAACACATATTACTGTTCCATGGTTGATAATCAAAATGCTGAGATTTGGACCAGAGCTAAAAGACTTTAAGGAGTAATTGCTGACGGCTTCACAAGTTTATTTTATTGCATTTATTGTTCTTAAGAAATTTGGAGAAATGCCTTATTTTCATAAAAGTTAATCCCTTTCACCCCTAGCAAAGAGCAGATCTGGCAGACACCCTGTCCCATCTAATGGATGGAGACACACTGTACAAAGCCCAATACAAATTCGCCATCAAACATGATACAGCACAGAGACAAATTCCTCTGTGCCTCTTCTTTTAAAAAAATCCCCTGTAGAGGAGATTTCAGAGAGCTGATGAAGTCCATCACATCTCTCTCACTTTAAATTGCCAGCGTGCTATTTATTCAGTAGAGCTTTAGGAAAAGATTTGCTCCTTTGCCTGACTGGCTCCTTCCCTCTGCAGTGGGGGAAAAAAAACAGCAAAGCATCCTGTCGAAGAACTGACTATAATGTTTAATGCAATTTTCAGCTCTCTAGCAGCAGGGGGATACATGTTTTCGTTATGACTGCTCAGATGCTATGGGATTTTGTATGTTGAGTAGGATAATAGTTAAGACTTTCAGATTTTAGGCTTGTAACGCTTCCTGTGTATTACTTTTCTACAACAATAATTCCAACTCCATACAGGTTTTTTTTTTTTTGATTGTTTGTTTGTTTGTTTGTTTTTTTGCTATTAGCATCTGTAAGTTTTCACTGTTGCTGCCCTTGTGAATTTAGGCAAAGCCTCATTAAACTGGAGAGCCAAACTCCCAATTTCAATATAATATAATATATCATTGAGAAGTAATAAGCTCTTTTATGAAGCAACACAGCTCCCCAGTTAAATCAATGACACATACACTTGATTAAACAAAGGCATATGTGGCTTTTTCCTAAGCATGTTGTGAAGCAAAGGGATGAGTAAATGAAAGAAACAGAGAAGAATGAAAAATAAGAAATGGGAATTCACAGAGAGAGCTGCAGAAATATCCCAGAGTGCCTGGAAGTACCCTGGAAGTGAGGTCCTTAGAAATGCCTCCAGAGGAAACTTCCCAGAGCTGCCAATAGTCTCCTGCTCTTTGACTTGCTCTTCAGTTAGGGAAACACAATATGTTCTTTGTAAATAAAGACTGAATCAAAGGTACCC